CAGCTCAGCTCAGCCCGGTCCTCACGCAGGGCCACTGTGGGCCCAGGCCCAGGGCTCCCTGGTCCTCACTCGACTGACCGTCAGCCTGTGGCTCACACTGCAAGCAGGAGCCGAGGGTGGCTGGGTAGGGGCGGGAGGGGGGGGGGGGGGCAGCGGGGTAGGGTCCCAGAGGGAGAGGCAGGAAGAAGGGGAAGAGGAAAAAAAATCCCAAGGGCTGAGTCTGACGGGGAACGAGCATCCCTGGCAGGTCCCCCTGCAAAACGAACTGTTTGTTTGCAGGAGGAGGTCGATGTTTAGGGGTTGCTGAGGGATTTCTCAGAAAACGGGGCAGCGGGCAAGTAAGCCGGGGAGCCCGTGAGAAAGAGGAAGGAGGGGGGCGGCGACCGCTGATATGAGACGGGAGTGGAGAGGAGAGGACCGTCAGGGCTGGCACTGCCTGGGCGGGGAAGGGAGAGTGCAAAGGCCCTGGGGCGGGTGTGGGCGCAGCAGGGTCGGGACCAGCAGAGCCCGCTGAGCTCACGGATGCTGCAAAGCGCAGCTCTGCTTCCTGCGTGGGGCCGGCGTGCAGGGTGCGGATGAGACGGGGGAACCAGTCAGGCAGCTCTTGGTGTCAACTGCCACCAGATAAGGGCTGATGGTGGCACCTGTCAGCCCTGGGAGTGAATGGAGGGTGCTAAGGTGAGGCCCACGTCCCCCGCCCTTGGGCAGGTGTCCACTAAGGAAGAAGCAGCAGAGAAGTGGGACGCAGTGCCCCGGGAGCCCGTCACACCTGTTTCTGCCAGTCCTGGGACTCTCTGAGTCTTGCTTTTCTCCTGAGACAAGAGGACCCAACCCAACCACCCCCAAATTCTCTTAAAAAAAAAAAAAGGTCAGGGGACCAGAGCCATAATCCACCAGGGAGGGCATTTTCCTTGCACATGGCCAACCTGGGTTCAATCCCCAGCATCCCATAGGGTCCCCCGAGCACCGCCAGGAGTCATTCCTGAGCACAGAGCCAGGAGTCACCCCCTGAACATCACCAGGTGTGACTCAAAAAGCCAAATAACTAAATAAATACACAAAATTTAAAAAAAAAAGTCAGCTTCAAGTTCCCAAATGAGTCAACACTGGCGCCAGGAAACCACGCACACTGGGGCAGGCCACGGTGAGGGAAGCTGAGGTCGCCCCCTCCCAGGGGCCAGGCGAGCCCACAGCCCCGCCAGGAGCTGCTCCCAGACACAGCTGCACAGCTGCAGGCAAGGTGTCAAGTCCCCAGAAGACACCCCCCAACCCATGCCCGACTAGGAGGGGGAAGGAGGGGGCGGGGCCTGGGACGGACACAGGTGGACACGGCCCTCTCGGGGGAGACGCCCTCAGACAGGACAAGCCTGAGCACTGAGGACCAAAGACTTTCTCTCCCCACAGCTCTGCTGGAAACCGCCAGTGACCAGCACCCGGCCAACGTCCGCCGAGGACAGCCAGAGAAGAGGCCAAAAAGTGAAGATAGGGGCTGGAGCAATAGCCCAGCGGGTAGGGCGTTTGTTTGCCTTGCACGTGGCCGACCCGGGTTCGATTCCCAGCATCCCATAGGGTCCCCCGAGAACCACTAGGAGTAGTTTCTGAGTGCAGAGCCAAGAGTGAGCCCTGAGCATCACCGGATGTGACCCAAAAAGAAAAAAAAAAAGTGAAGGTAACATATGGGTCCCAGGGCAGCCTCAGTCGGGATGAGCACAGAAAACAGAGGCTTCAGGGGAGGGGGAGGGGCAGAGGACAGCGCAGGGGTCAGGCTCAAGCCTTGCGGGCAGCTGACCCAGGTCCAATCCCAGGCAGCACTTGATCCTCTGAGCACTGGAGACACCCCCAGCACCACTGAGTGGCCTGGGGGGGTCCCTGTCACAACAGGGCCAAGCAGCTCACATCACTGGGTCCCCACATTGAACTCCTGGTGTGACTGGCCAAGAACGACTAGGAAGGTTCTAGATCTTCTGAGCACTGCTTGGGAATCTCCCACACACGCCCCACCCCCCACCCAGAGAGAGAGTGGACCAACGCCCTGGATTGGGTGTTGGACCCATGACACGGCCAGGTAAGCTCCTACCACGCACCCCCAAAGCCAAAGATTTCACAGCGAGAGACCCCACAGCGAGGGTCCCCGCAGACCTGCCTGAGGTGAGTTCCAAACCAAGCTCCACAGCAGAGGGAGAGAACACCGGGTCAGAGCTCGACCTGTGTGTCAGACGGTCTCCTGGGCACTCACAGGGGTGATCTTGGAGCACAGAGCCAGGAGTGGCCCCTGAGTGCCACCAGGCATGGCCAGCACCCTCCCCCAACACATGAAGGAGGAGCCCAGCCTTGGGGCTGGCCGTGCGACCGGGCAGTAGAGCCCTCGCTGCCCTGCAAGGCACTGGACCCAGCACCGCCAAGATACACGAATGGGACCAGGACTCACTTAGGCCCACGAGGGAGAGAGTTTGGAGGTTCAGCCCCATCGAAGTGAAAGCAGGGGACATATCAGGTTTCCTGCAGAGCAGAGACACCTGGCCAGCCCGAACCCAGAGGCACCGGCCAGTGCACAGACTGCCCACAGAGGAAGACGGTAAAATGGGCCAGAACAGCAGCAGTGATGACCAAACACAGAGAGAAAGAAGGAACGCACGTCAAGGGAAAGAGCAGGAGATAGAAACAGATCTTGAGATGCCCCGGGCTCCTGGGAGGTGGGGCCCAAGTTGCAGACCCAGGACCCAGCCAGTTTAGGGCAACTTGAGGAATTTTGTTTTTTGGGGTTTTTTTTTGGGGGGGGGTCACACCCGGTGATGCACAGGGGTTACTCCAGCCCCATTTAACTTTTTTTTTTCTTTTTGGGTCATACCCAGTGATGCACAGGGGTTACTCCTGGCTCTGTACTCAGGAATTACTCCTGGTGGTGCTCGGAGGACCCTATGGGATGCTGGGAATCGAACCCAGGTCGGCTGCATGCAAGGCAAACGCCCTCCCAGCTGTGCTATTGCTCCAGCCCCAGATTTCATTGCTTTTGTTTCTTGTTCTTCAGTCTGAGCTCTGGGCAGGCTGGGTGGTTTCTAGTCATAGGGCCTCAGACTATGCCCAGGAACCTGCATTTGTGACAACACTCCAGGCGGTTCAAGCACTCACAACCTCAGTCTTCCCAGAGAATGTTCAGCACACACAGATCTTTCGAGCAAATACCGGGATCAAATGGCAGCAGATGTACTGAGTTCTGATGGACCCGGTTGGTCTGTAGACATCTGTCCACAGCCGCTGGGTCACTCAGACAATTCAGAAGAATATTTCATCTCTAAATCATTGGGAGGGAAAAAAATACTTCTCTACCTGTTTTTTTTTACTATCTGATGTTAAATCAAAAGCCACAAACATAAAAGATGATCATGAAAAAAAAAGAGAAGGAAATGTTCACGGTATAAGCAAAGTTTTTTTTTTTTTAAAGAGTTCAGAATACTTAAGAGGGGGATCAACGTGCAGTGACAAAGTCATGCTTTTGAAAGGAAAAAAATAAAGTGAACCAGCCAGCAGCCAGCTGCGCATGATAGTTATTTTAGATAATTATGTGCCGTTCCAGTGTTTTCCCATACTTTCTGCCTTCCACGCAAGAATTCTGTGCTTCCTGTGAACTCTCATCTGAAATTCAAACCCCAAATGATGGGTTTGCAAAGTTTCCATCCGCACACAGACCTCTGCAGAGCTCAAGAACTTTCTCCCAGAGGAGGAAGAGCAGAAGGGCCTCGGGGACGAGGCTGGTTTCTCCGCTGAGCCGGCCCAGGAAGGCTCTCCTCTGCCTCCCGCAGCTGAACCAGCACACCAACGCAGAGTCAACGGGGGCTCCGTCTAGCAAGCCACTCAGACCAGCACCCACTAGGCCCCTGCAGCCAGCAACTCAAATCAGCACCCACCAGGCCCTCAGTCCAGCAAGCAACTTAGACCAGCACCCACCAGGTGCCTCTGTCCAATGAGCGACTCAGACCAGCACCCACCAGGCCTCTTCATCCAGCGAGCGACTCAGACCAGCAACTACCAGGCCCCTCTGTCTATTGAGTGACTTAGACCAGCACCCACTAGGCCTTTCAGCCAGTAAACGACTCAGATCAGCACCCACCAGCCCCCTCCAGCCAGTAAGTGACTCAGACCAGCACCCACCAGGCCTCTTCATCCAGCGAGCGACTCAGACCAGCAACTACCAGGCCCCACTGTCTATTGAGTGACTTAGACCAGCACCCACTAGGCCTTTCAGCCAGTAAACGACTCAGATCAGCACCCACCAGCCCCCTCCAGCCAGTAAGAGACTCAGACCAGCACCCACCAGGCCTCTTCATCCAGCGAGCGACTCAGACCAGCAACTACCAGGCCCCTCTGTCTATTGAGTGACTTAGACCAGCACCCACTAGGCCTTTCAGCCAGTAAACGACTCAGATCAGCACCCACCAGTTCCTTCCAGCCAGTAAGAGACTCAGACCAGCACCCACCAGCCCCCTCCAGCCAGTAAGTGACTCAGACCAGCACCCACCTGGCCTCTTCATCCAGCGAGCGACTCAGACCAGCAACTACCAGGCCCCTCTGTCTATTGAGTGACTTAGACCAGCACCCACTAGGCCTTTCAGCCAGTAAACGACTCAGATCAGCACCCACCAGTTCCCTCCAGCCAGTAAGAGACTCAGACCAGCACCCACCAGGCCCCTCTGTCCAGCAAGCAACTCAGAGCAGCACCCACCAGCCCCTCCAGGCAGTAAGTCTAAGTGACTTAGACCAGCACCCACCAAGCCCCTCCAGCCAGTAAGTGACTCAGACCAGCACCCACCAGATCCCTCCAGCCAGTAAGAGACTCAGACCAGCACCCAGTAGTCCCTCTAGCCAGTAAGCCACTCAGACCAGCACCCACCAGGCCCCTCTGTCCAGCAAGTGACCCAGACCAGCACCCACCAGGGAGCCACTGGGAACCCCAGGGGTGCCCCAGGCTCTCTCTGACCACCTCCTGCCTAGCAAGCTCCTACCTGGACCACAGGGTGGCCACCCGTGGGCGCCTTCACGGCTCCCCGGCTGCCTTCCGTCTCGTAGTGGGCCCGGTGGTGTGGCTTCGGCTGCACCTCAATCCGCAGCTCGTAGGAGCCGGACTGCTGGGCCAACGGCCACTCCAGCGGCGGGACGCTGGGGAAGGAGAGAGAGTCAGTCTCGGGGCCCGCCGGGTCCCCCGCCCTGCTCTGAAGACCCCGTCCCTGGGCAGGCGACCAGCCGGGGCTGTGGGGACCCTCTGCCCAGAGTGCCAGGTGCCCGCGGCGGGCAGGAGCACCCCCTCTTCCCACAGACCCGCGCACAGAGCTTTTTTTTTTTTTTAATTAATGAGACACCATGAGGTACAGTTGTCGACTTACAAACTTTCATGTTTGGGTTTCAGTTATACAATGATCAAGTACCCATCCCTCCTCTTGAGCCCATTCTCCACCACCAATGATCCCAGTGGCCCTCCCACCCACCCACCCCCAATCCCCCCCTCGCCCCGCGCCACCTCTGTGGCAGGGCATTCCCTTTTGCGCTCTCTTTCCTTTAGGGTGTTGTGGTTTGCAAGAGAGGTATTGAGTGGCCATCGTGTTCGGTCTGTAGTCTACTTTCAGCACACGTCTCGCATCCCAAGCGAGTCCTCCAAACACCCTTTACTTGGTGCTCCCTTCTCTATCTGAGCTGCCTTTTCCCCCAGCATGTGCTGCCGGCTTCCAAGTCGTGGAGCAGACCTCCTGGTACTTATCTCAGCTATGCTTGGGTGCTCATCTCCCATTCTGTTACTTTATATTCCCCAGATGAGTGCAATCTTTCTATGTCTGTCCCTCTCTTTCTGGCTCATTTCACTTAGCATGATACTTTCCATGTAGAACCACTTGTTTGCAAATTTCATGACTTCATCCTTTCTAACTGCTACATAGTATTCCATTGTGTAGATATACCAAAATTTCTTTAACCAGTCATCTGTTCCTGGGCACTCGAGTTTTTTCCAGATTTTGGCTATTGTGAACAGTGCAGCAGTGAACATACAAGTGCAGATGTCACTTCGACTATACTTTTTTTGCCTCTCTGGGGTATATTCCCAGGAGTGGTATTGCTGAGTCAAATGGGAGCTCAATTTCTAATTTTTTTGAGGATCGTCCATGCTGTTTTCCAAAAGGGCTGAACCAGTCGGCATTCCCACCAGCAGTGAAGGAGGGTCCTTTAAAGGTGCTGCTTTCTTTTTTTTTTTTTTGCTTTTTTTTTTTTTTTTTTTTTTTTGCTTTTTGGGTCACACCCAGCAATGCTCAGGGATTACTCCTGGCTTTGCACTCAGAAATTACTCCTGGCGGTGCTTGGGGGACCATATGGGATGCCGGGGATCGAACCCGGGTCGGCTGCGTGAAAGGCAAATGCCCTACCCGCTGTGCTATCACTCCGGCCCCAGGAGCTGCTTTCTTAAGGGTCAGCTCCACCCTCGGCTGCCGTGGGAATTCGGAAGACTGTCACCTTCCAACTTTACTTTAAGAAAAAATTTTTTTCAAGTCCTCAAGGGAGAATACAGCCAGGACACCAGCCCCGCACATGCCTGACCCCTGTCGGAGTCCTAGCAACAGAGGGTCCCCCGAGTGAGGCCAGACGCTGCCCAGCAGGGGACCCAGCACCACCAGGGGGGCCCAGGGATCCCTGTCACAGGCGGTCTGAGACGCACCACAGCCTCGGGCCCTTCCACAGAACCCTCAGGCCACTAGCGGGACTCAAAAGTGAGGCCCCCGGATGGAGCCCCCTGAGATGCGCTGTTTTTCTCTGGCACAGAAGGTTAGGTGGGGTCACACAGACGCCATATCTCATGCCAGACAGGAAGTGCCACTTTCGCGGTCCGGGGCCCTGTGACCACACCACAGATGGACGGGAGGTGCTTATCTTGACCTCGGCCCATCTCAAGGAAGAGCAAATTTGTTTTATTTTTTTTAAATGTGGGAGTACTGCTATTTATTCAGCCACTGATTAAGCTGATTGAATTGGGCATGAACTCCACAAACTTTTTTTTTTAATTGATTGAATTGAATCCCTGTGAGATGCAGTTACAAAGCTTTCACGTTCGAGATTCAGCCGTACGGTGCAGTTACAAAGCTTTCATGTTCGAGACTCAGCCGTACGATGATGGAAGTGCACACTTGAGGAGGAGCAAATTTAGGGGAGAGGAACGTCTCTTCCGGCTCAGATCCGAGCTGGGGCAGAAAAGGAAGCGAGGAGACGCGGGAGCCGCCCACCAACACCCCAGTGGGAAGCGAAGGACAGTGCAGGAGGCCAGGCAGGGGTTCGAGGGCCCTCCTCCTCGCCTCCACTCTCCCCTCGGGGAACCCAGAGTCCCGAGCGCCCAGAGCCTCCTCTGACGGCTGCTCAAAGCGCCAGCTCTCGATTCTGCCGGCCCGGACACCCAGCAACGCTCCTGTACGGGCGACGTGCTGCTCCTCAGGTAGGAAGTGGCCGGGCTCCGAGGCTGCCTCAGTTTCACTTTCAGTCCCTTTCCGGCCCCACGCGGAGCTGGGGGTGCAGGCAGTCAGGATGCATCAGCGAAGAGCGGGTGGGAGGGCTTCTCGTGCATCTGGGTTCGGCCCCTTCATCTCATGCCAAGGTCCCCCCTGACTCCATCTTCACCTGTGGCTCTGGGGGAGGGGGAGGGGGAATCCTGGGGGCCCGTGTGGGGGGAGGGGGCATGACATGAATGGAGCAACACTGGCCTGCACCACTGCTTGGGCACGTCTGAGCACATAAGGACGGTCTCCAGAGACCAGGGAGCAAACACAGCGGAGACTAAACTTCCCATCTCTTGCTCCACGTCCAGTGCTCCCCGGGACCTCTACTGGGATGCCTCATGTCAGAGCAACTTCTCCAAACCAGATCCAGGAAGAAGCCTCAGCTAGGCGACTGTCCGCCACAGCGCTGGGCGCCTGCCAGCTTCTCAGAGAGGATTTTAAGGCAAGGGTTCGAAAGGCATGTTAAGCACCTGGCACTGCCTTTGCCTGGATTTCTCTGTCATCAGCTGTGAGACGATACAGAACAGCAGCCCCCTGCTTAGTCATGGGGTGGGGGGACATTCCAAGCCCCCCGGGGTGCCACAGAAAGCAGTGATCCTTGGGGGCACCGTGGGTTTCCCTCCGAGTGCACGCCCGCAGTCACGCCCAGTTCACGCATCTGACACAGTAAGACACAAACGAGGGCCCCAGATCCGACAGCTCAGCTTGACCCACGCCCAGTCGCAGTGGGGCCTCTCCTGCGTCTCTCGTGGTGTTTGGGGATCAGGGTTGGCCACCAGTGATGACCAGGAGGAGCCCAAGGCCCCCATATCAAGCAGTGTGAGTGCAGGGGGTAGCATGAGGCAGGGCTGTAGCGGCGCCAAAGCCTTATCCATCACAGCAGGACTGGGGGCAGCCCCCCTCACACCCCAGCACGGCCACAGCCCACCAGGTCAGCGGGGGTCGCCCACCACCGGGCGGGCCAGGGCTGCCCGGCAGGCAGAGAGTTGGAAACCACTGCTGGATCACCTCGGTTACAGCCACCTTCGTGGCTGCTGTAAAGAGGTCGAGGGCCATTTTCTAGAAGTAAACGTCCGATTTGGCTCCTGACTTCATGTGCCAGCAAACTCCAGCCCCTTCCCGGCGTCCCCCGGAGACCCTCGCCCCGAAGTCTTGGGCTGTCCAGACTCTCACTGTGACCTCACTGTGGCCAAATCCTCTAACTTTGCTCTTGCACCCAGTAGGAATGTTCCAAAGTCTGCAGAAGGGGGCTAATATATGTATATATATTTTTGAGGACGAAGAACCTCCGGCTCCGGGCACATCTCTTTGATTCCACTGTTCTTCCTGCATTAACATATGCCTCAGAGACCTGGGCCCTACGCAAACAGGATGAGAACGCTATTCAGGTCTCCCAAAGAAGAATAGAAAGAGCTATGCTTGGAATATCACGTTTCACTCAAATGAGAGAACGAATCCGGAGTTCTGACATCCATTGACGATCAAGGATCAGGGACGCTGTCTCATTTGCCAAGGTGTCGAAAATCAGATGGGCTGGTCACGTAATGAGATTTAAAGACGACCGTTGGACTAGAGCTGTTACTGACTGGATTCCACGGAATGTCAAGAGACCGCGTGGCCGCCCACCTACCAGATGGTCAGACTTCTTCGTCAAGATCATGAACGATCGGTTTGAGGCCCTCCATGTTCCCGGAGCGAAGAGATGCCATTGGGCTACACTAGCACGCGACAGGGACAAATGGAGACGTTACTGGTGCCTGCTCGAGCAAATCGACAACTAACAGGAAGTTAAGTGATTAAGTGATATTTTTAACCACTTTACCACTCGATATCTCTTGAAGTTTCACGAGACTCAGTGCGTTGATTGACTGTTGTTTTGTTCGGTTCTGGACGAAGCCTTTGACAAGCGACATCAATGCTAAGAATTAGAACCTTAGAGTCGGGGTGACATTCCGCCTCTGATTCCAGCCCCTGCTGAGTGTCCAGGCGCCCTCAGAGAAGCCGTGTCGTGAGACTATCCCGCCGGTCCCTCGACTTGTTCTCTGGGTCTTCGCTTGCTATGTTTGCAGACAAAACAAGTCCCTCCACTCCATCTCGTGGGAAGTTCCGGCCACTGGCCCTTTGGACACTAAGCACCCTACCCCACCAGAACCTCAGGCCCGACTGCCCCGGGCTCAGGACGGAGCTGTGTGGGCCCCTGAGACAGATGTGCTCCCCGGCTAGTGGTGGCACTGAGACCCCAGCCCGGGGAAACCCCCACACCCATCCCAGCTCTCCAATGCAGCTCCCCAGGAAGGCTGCACACTCCTTCAGCTGGGGTCCCCTACTGGCCAGGCCAGTGACCATCCAGACCCGACAGGAAATGACTGGGCACTGCCGACCAGGCTGGCTCGGGGTCACGAGATACCAGTTCCAGGCGGACCCCGTAGCCCCTGTCCACTGCTGTCCACCCCCACCAGAGCCCATCACTGCACAGAGCAGGTGCGTGACAAACTGGGCACGCTGGCCCAGAACCCAGTGAGCTGGTCCCTCCTCCCGGGGCCCTCCGGGCAGTCACAGGCATCCGAGCACTGCTGTCCACGGGGCACTCGGCGGCCGCCCTCCCTCCCTCCCAGCACAGGCGCTGACCCTCCCCGCCGCCACCGCCGGCCACTCACCTGCAGATGGAGAACGGGGGCGGCACAAGCTGCTTGGGCCACGTGGGCGTCACCAGCAGGATGGACTCGGGCGCCGAGTTCCTCCTCTCCTCCTCCTGCTCGCAGGGGCCCAGGAACTCCACGGCGGCAGGGTAGAGGTGGTGGGCCAGGCCGGCCTTGGCAGGGGCGGCGGGGCCGGGGGCCCGCTCGGCGCTGGTCTTCCACATCTTGGAGGGGATGCCGCAGGAGTCGGCCGCCAGGCTGCTGAGCGCGTCCATGATCACGCTGGAGCCGGCGGCGGCCGGGGGGTAGCCAGCAGAGGGGCCTTCGTCCCGGGGCTGCGGCGAGGGGCTGCGGGACCGCTGGGGCGAGGCTCCGGGCAGCAGGGCGGCCGATGCCCCGGCACACGAGTGCCGCCGCTTGGCTCCGGGCGACGAGGAGCGTGAGGGCGGGCGGGGCACGGGCGAGTGGTGGCCCAGGCAGCTGTCCTCGGCTAGGCTGGTCCGAGGTGACATTATTGGCGAGGTTCTGGGGGAATAATGAGCAGGGATGTTTTGAAACTGGGGACACAGGTCCTCGGGCCCGGCGCCGTTATTGGGCGAGACGCAGGGTGAGGTGCAAGGGGAGAAGGAGTCGGAAATGAAGCTGGCAGAGGACGCGCTGCTGGCGGGGCTCAAGCAAGGCGGGTCGCGGTAGCCCTCCAGGCCGGGCACGGGCAGCGTGACGCCGCATGGGGGCTGCTGCCCCCCTGGCAGGCCGGCGTCTCGGCCTCCGAGGGACCCTCCCGCCTGATTCAGTTCGTGGGACGGAGTGATCTCAATCCGCGGGCTCACGCTCAGGGTCCCTGATGGCTTCACTGCGCTCAGAAAGTTCTGGGCCCCCACCCTAGCCGGCTCTCCGAATCGGGGCTCCCCCAGGAGCTGGGGGTCATAGTCCGGAGCGGCATCCGGGTACGCGAGTCCGGCGGACGGGCTGCCGACCTTACGTGCGCTCGACTCTTCTGGAAAGAGAAGGGGGGAGGGAGGGGGTCTTTTTTAAGCCTCTCAAACAGAATGATCAGCGCTGGGTGGCCGGGGGTGGAGGGCGTCTGCCTACATCTCCCCGCCGTTGCCACACCCCCTGGGCAGAGACTCTTCCCTCCTGCCTTGGAGGGGCTGCGGTGCCAAGAGCGGGGTGTGGAGGGGGGGCTCCTCCAGGCCGACCTGGGGGGCTACCAGACATCTGTGTCCCGGGCCCCTTAGAAGAAGGTGTGGTGGGCTCGGCCGGGCAGGCCCTGGCCATACTTACCCACCTCGGGGCACCCCCCCCCAGCCCTACCTCTGTCTAAATGCCGGGCGCATTCATCGACACCAACACCCACCGCACCGAGGCCCCGGGGAGGGGGGCCTGCCAGACACACACCCAGAAGCACCCCCCGAGAGCGAGGACCTGGACCCTGTGTCCCATCTCATCCTCGACTCCATGTCCCGGCAGACGCTGGGGCCCCAGGACAGAGGGTCCCTGAAGACAGAGAATGGGCAGGACCAGAGTCACACACACACACACACACACACACACACACACACACATACACACACACCCCAGACACGCCACCGGGGCCCCCTAAGGCGGTGCCAGAGCAGGACAGAATCCACAGACTTCCAATGCAGGGCGGGAGCGGGCGTCAGCCGGACCCGGAACCTTCTAGAGGGACCAAGGCTGGGTGTCGATCGCCTGGGACAGACACCCTGTCGCCCGCTGGCCTCCGTCCGGCCCTCGCTCTCCCCCAAGGGCCTGGTTTCCTTCCCGTCACCCGCCACGTCCCGAGGCTGGGCTGGCTAGTGGCTCCCACACGCGAGGCTCTTTCATGTGAGCCCCAGCCTCTCCCCTGCCTGCGGGGTCGCCTCTCTCGCGCCCAAGCCCCCCGCAGAGGCCCGAGCTCCATCCTGGCACCCCCACCCCCCCACATTGCGCCCACTCGGCCGCTTCTCTCAGTCCTCGGGGCCCTGGCCCGGCTGCCCCAAGGCCCCGTGCGACACCAGCCCCACCGAAAACTCGCCCGCACGGCCGCCCGCATCTCTCTGCAGCGCACACACACACACACACACACACACACACACGCAATCATACACTCACACAATCACATACATACACTCACACATACTTCACACACACATACACACATTCACACACACACAATATACACTCACACACACTCACATGCAATCATACACACACATACACTCAGACACACACTCACACACGCAATCATACACTCACACATACTCACACAATCACATACATATACCCACACATACTTCACACACACACATACACACATTCACATACACTCACACATAGTTCACACACACATACACACATTCACATACACTCACACACGCCATCATACACCCACACATACAGTCACACACGCAATCATACACTGACTCACGCACATTCACACACTCACACAATCATATACTCACACACGCACATTCACACATATGCTCACACACACTCACACATACACACAATCACACACTCACCACCCCCACACACTCACACACCCACACATGCAATCACACAATCACACACAGTTACACACATTGTACATCACTGTCACTGTCATCCCGTTGTTCATCGATTTGCTCCAGCAGGCACCAGTAACATCTCGATTGTGAGACTTGTTGTTACTGTGTTTGGCACATCAAATACACCACAAGGAGCTTGCCAGGCTCTGCCATGCAGCGGGATACTCTCGGTAGCTTGCCAAGCTCTCCAAGAGGGGCGGAGGAATCGAACCCGGGTCGGCCGCGTGCAAGGCGATAGCACGCCCTACCCGCTGTGCTAACGCTCCAGCCATACACACTCACATTCAAACACACTCATACACATTCACACACTAACACAAACACACACACATATGGTCACATCCATACACTCACACACACACACAGCCACACACACATTCACATACTCACGCCTACCGCACCGCTCCCCTCTGCAGAGCTAAGGCTGCCCCTCCCCCGCGCACACAGCCCCGCCTTCTCCGGCACATCCCTGCTGCAGTGCTCCCAGCAGGGCCCCGAGTCCTCCCCTGTAGCCTTTCCCTCTCCTGCCACACCAATGGCCGTGCTCCACTTCACGCCTGTCCGCACTTTCGTCCCGGCCCCTCCACAGGACCCACAAGCCCCCGCTCCCCACGAGACCTCCTCGAGGCTGGCTGAGTTCATGAACGAAGTTCATGACTGTGCTATAAACTACTCATGGGCGCGGAGAGCCAAAGCCAAGGCAGGAAGAGACCCCCGAGAGACGGTGATTGGGCAGGAGCACCTCAAACGCCGAACGCCATAACCCCAGAGGCAGAGGACACCGCGTTTAGAAACGCACCCAGAGATGTGACTTCATATGCACCCAAAGAAGTCGACGGGACTTGACTACCCTGCTGCAACCCCCAGAAATAGGGCAGACTAATGCCCATCCACGAGGGACAAGTTACATTCTAGCAAGTTCACCCCAGGGGATACAGTATCCAAGGGCAGAAGAGTGAAAGGGAAGGACCAGGAAGCCCCAGGGTCCAAGAAGAAGTTAGGCACATGCGGGGCTAGAGAGGGCATCCGTGTGCACACACAGTGCACTGGGATGCACGTGGACACACGCATGCAGTGACGGTGCACGCACAATCCAGGAGGATGCACCTGAGCTCACACACGTGCACACCAGACACAGCAGGAGGCAGGGGTGGAAAGGCAATGCCTCAGGGGGTTGTGATCATGTGATCACACACATGCAGGTACTTGTGCACAGAAGGCCTGTGCTGCAGGGTGTGTGTACTCATGCATGCACATACACCCCACTGCAGTATGCCTGGGCTTTCTCTGGAAATCGCAGGTAAGAGTTACTTCCTCCGGAGAGAGGTACTAAAATTTAGGGAGCAGTGACACAGCAGAACGCCAACTGATTTGTGTTACAGGGAGGGAAGAAAGTGTCATTCCCCAAGGAAAATCTTTATTTTCTAGGTAGGGGGCTGATCAGAGTGATACGGAGGAAAGCCACCCTGGTTCCGGAAGCAGGAAACTGATGTTCTTGTCTGCCGCTAGAAAGCCGAGGGACCTTGGAAAAGTCCTGCTCGACTCTGGCCCGATCTTATCACAACAGCTTCCTCACTTGCTTCTGGCCCGGAAGCCCTCTGCATTTTCTAGCTAGATCTGCTGAGGTCTAGATTCTCAGGAAGCTGCAGTTCACCATAAACTTGTATTTGCATGCATGCAAACACATGAACACACACACACACACACACACAGAGCCACAGATACACAGACACACACAAATACACATACAGACAGACTCACAGACACACACACACATAGACACACACAGACACATGCACACACACACACACACACACACACACATACACGCAGCTTCACAGCTAGCAAACAACAGGGGTTCTAATCTAAGAAATGTCAGTGTCAAACCGTGTCTGACATTAACAATCCTTGGCCGTTCCAACCAATAAAGCAAAAGACTCATGGCACAAACTCTGGCCTTATCAGAAAGCCTGAGTCACGTCTTATCAGAAACGCACCCTGGGTTGTTGTGGACAGTCACAGGACCAGCTCTGCACACGCCACTCACACTCCCCGGGGAGGCCTGAACACAGAGAAACAGTTCAAACAAAAAGCAACCGGCTCTCACTTGCCGAGTGGCAAGGTTTCTTGGCGCTCCCATAGATTTTGAAAGTTAAATAGCAAGCAGGAAACACAAAGGTAAATTGCTTGGTGGTTTTTTGGTTGGCTTTTTTTTTTTTTTGAGGGAGGAGGCACACCCAGCGATGTGCAGGGGTTCCTCCTGGCTCTGCACTCAGGAATTACTCCGAGTGGTGGTGGGGGCACCCTATGGGATGCCGGGGATCAAAGCTGGGTCTGCCCCGTGCAAGGCAAGCACCCTCCCCGCTGTTCTTCTGGCCCCCAACATGAAGGTCACTGTCCTGTCCACTGTCCTCCCGTTGTTCATCAATTTGCTCAAGTGGGCCCAGTAACGTCCCCATTGTGAGACTTCTTGTTACCGTGTTTGGCATATTGAAGACTCTCGGTAGCTTATCGGGCTCTCCGAGAGGGGCAGAGGAATCGAACCCGGCTCGGCCGGGCTGGCTGCGCGTCAGACAAATGCTCTACCGCTGTGCTATCATTTATATCGTTTCTCTCTAAGGCTTCTGGGTGGGGGATGGCTGTGATTGTCCCAGACCAAGGGCTCCTCATCATTTCGTTAAGCCCTGGAGTCTTCACTTTTCATCATAAACACCTGCGCCATGCACACAAGCTCCCACCAGCCACCACAGTGCCCACAGCGCCCCTGCCGAGACCCTTTCATCTCGGAACCCAGAGACCCTTTCATCTCGCTATCTTTACCGCCCTGCTATCTCCGCTTTTCCAGAAACCTTGCTCTTTCCCCCCCCTGGGGATCTTTGCAATCACCTCTTCTCTCATTTGCTTGTAAATATTTACTTCAATCCACTCACCAATGACTTGGAATTGTGTGAGTGAGGAAACGTTACACCCCACCCGTGGAGAGTCAGTACCAGCTCATCTGAGATGGATGCCAGCACTAGCGTAAAGGAAGATCAGGGGGATCAGGGCGAACCACAAGAAAAACGCAAGTTGCTAAAATTAAGTGAGACTGGGGACGAAAGGCTGCAAGTCTGTACCTTCAGCTCCCTTGAGGTCCTGGGCGAAGCTGCAACGAGCCCAGATTTTTGTTTTTCAAACCCAGATTTTTTAAGTAGAGCTGTTCAAAGACTGTTGCCACGTGGAGAAGGACCCCACCACCATTCGCATGCAGCTCTATAGCCCACCTGGGGTCTACAGCCTTTTTGTAAGGCCGGAGGTAGAGGAGGGAAAGGCAGGAAAGAAAAGCATTCGAAGCAGATGCATCAGGGCAGTAGACAAGGTGCCAGCCTTGCGCTCAGCCGACCCAGGTTCAATCCCCAGCATATGGTCCCCTGAGCATTGCCAGGAATGA